AATTCCCTCAAATTTTCTAGGAATTCTCTGAATTTCCTTGAAATTTCTAGAAACTCCTTGAATTTTTTCGAAATTTCAAGTAACTTCTCGAATTACCTTGAAATGTCTAGAATTTTCTAGAATTCCGATAGATGGCGCTGCACATAAGTACCGTTTCCCAGAATGACCCCCCATATTGAAACCATAGACGTATCCACGTCAAAAGGAAGAAACAAACCTAAGCGCAAGCCAGAAGGCAAGTCCGTCGCGGACTCAGTCCAGGCCTTTCACGAACTCTTCCACACAACCTCTCGCTCTCCGCTTTAACAGCCTGTTCCCCTGGCTTCTGTACCCCGAACATACGTTCTTTACAAAGAAGTTTTCAACTTCTGGACATTTGTACATTGAGTTCAGAATCTTGAAGGTCTCTATCAGGTCGAACCTCCTTTGTCTCTCCTCAAGCCGTGGCAGACGGAGTTTCCTCATCCTTTCCTCATAGCCCAGACCAGTGAGCCTGCCCGGAATCCTTGATGCTCTTTTCTGTACTCCCTCCAGGAGGCCAATGTCCCCAACCAAGTAAGGCGACCAGACCGGGCACGCATATTCGAGAATCGGACGGACGACCGTCATATAGATCGATCGCAACAGATCAGGGGAAACTGGGTGGAAGGCCTTCCTGCCTATGAAGAGTAGGGAATTTGCCTTTTTGACCATCCCTGAGATGACACTGGGTGGAAGGTCTGCCTGACCATGTAGAGCAGGGAATTTGCCTTCTTGACCACCCCTGAGATGTGAGCGCCCCACTTCAGGTCCTCGGAGACCAGCACGCTGAGATCCCGCTGCACCCCCACTGACACCACACTCGACCCACGCAGAAAGTATGTATTCCTTGAGTTCCCCCTCCCGCAGTGGACTACTGTGCATTTACTGGCATTCAACGACAAGAACCACTCCTCGGTCCATTCACCAACCACGTTCAAGCTCTTCTGAATTTTTCCCTCCTCGTCAGCCTAACCAAAGAGCTTTGTGACGTCCGCGAACAACGAGGCTCCCACCGAGACTTCAGCCAGCAAGTCAGCCACGTACACCACGAAGAGGAGCGGTCCCAGCACCGAACCCTGGGGCATCCCACTGAGCACTTCCCTCTTCATCGACAGTAGATCACTAACACGTACTGAGTACGATCGACCCACCAAGAAAGCTTTGATCCACTCTAGAAGTTTCCCCTTAATTCCGGCTACGTGCAGCTTCCCCACAAGGTTCCTCAGGGGTACGCGATCGAACGCTTTTTCGAAATCTAGGTAGATAACATCGATTGGTCTCATCCTATCGATAGAGTCCAGCCATCTCCGCGTATACCTCCGCGTATACAAATACGCTAGACAAGTAGCTCGGGTGGTGCCACCGGGTGGCCTACGGTAGCAACTCTCGGGGGGCCAGTCAGTCTGTTTACTACCGAAACGTGTGTTATGGAGCCCACAGAAAAATCCACAGAAATTATCGAAAAGTAATTGCTGTGTTGTGAATTGTTTCAACAATGCAAAAAATAGTCCTGGAGTGCATTTTTACACATTCCCAAATCGTCCATGGGAGGCTGAAAGGAAAGAAAATGTAAATTAATGTAAATTCAGTTCTGATCGACATTTTGAGAAATATCTTGGAATATAATGGAGACAGCGAAATTGGCATACAAACTTTTTTGTAGAGAATTTCAAGAGCTACAAAAGAGGTCTTCATGTGAATCCCACGATATTCCTCAGATTTCGAGATATGTGACAAAAACTCAACCGAGGACGGAGTTAACTTGTTGCTCTCTACCACCTCAATGCGGAGTTAATTTTTACTTTTAATGGACTATTTTATAGTAGGGCATATTTACCTGAACGACTGGGGAGTAAATATTCTCTTTTTTACGGGTGCTATGTGCCCCAGGAGTTTCTCGGATCACTGATCCACAGATACGTCTATCATTTCCATGGATGAGTTCTCTCACGTCACTGACATGATAACTTTTTACTAATTTTGTGCCTTTACTGATTGATTTAGGCCGGAAGGCCGATAAATCGACCTCTTGAAACCCACTTTTAATTATGGCTCATTTGACATTATATGATACTTTAATGAATTAGGAAAAAAAACTTAATGTAACGACTAATACCATGTAAGCATATGAGTGTCAGCTGGAGCGGCCCTCCGAGAGTTGCGTAGAATGTCCACGAGACAGCGCCCAAACCGCGCGCCCCTGGAACTTGTCTAGCGTATTGGTCACCGTCGACCTTCCGGGAATGAACTCGTGCTGCTCGGGTGGGATGACACCCCTCTCAAACAGAAATGGCCTCATCTGATCGACAATCATCCTTTCCATCACCTTACATACCACAGATGTGAGCGAGATCGGCCTGTAATTGGCTGGGAGGAGTTTATCTCCTTTCTTATAAATAGATGTCATGACCGCTGTCTTCCAGCCCGCCGGCAGTACACCACTATCCATCGATTTCCTCATCAAGCTCACCAGTACTGGGGCTACCTGATCCGCACACTGTTTGAATACGCGACAGCTCACTCCGTACGCACCTGCAAAGGACGACTCGTCTAGCCCGAGTAATACCCCCTTAACTTTGATGCAGTCGAAAACAATGTTCTCCATCACTTCCTCTGCCTCAGGAAACGATGATGGCATCGGGACGGGGCCATCTGGTTCTCTGACATAGGCGCCCTGGAATTGAGCCGCGAAGGCCCCCAAGCAGCACAGTTCCGGAGGGTATCTGCAAGTATACCAAAAAGGCTGTCTAATGTCTGTCCAAAAAGGTAACTTGTGTCTAGAAGTTACCTAGAAGTTAACTAAAAGTTATCGTATGACTGCAAGATACCTTTTGGACGGACATTAGTCAGCCCTTTTGGTATTCTTTCAGATATCTTTCGCAAGGTTTGCTACTTGGGCCTCTGCAATCTCCCTCGGTGTTTCCAACCGTGACACTCCCACCCTCAGCACTGCGGGGATACCCACCTTCGATACCAGCTTCGATTGTATGTATGCGTAAAATGGCTTTCTGTCCCTCGCCACAAGGCTCTGCTGATATTCTTCCTTACTTTTTTGGTAACTTCCATGTAACAATTTTGTTGGCCCAGACAGAACTTGTTTGAGAACTTGTTCGTTCTTCTCTTAGAAGAATCCTGGTAGCTTTATACTGAATCTTATTAGAACAATCCTGGTAACTTTATACTGAAAGAAGAAAAAGAAGATATCAAACAATTTCAGTGAACAATAAGAAATAATCTGATTGATGTCATTCTAATTATGGAGAAGAGTGAGAAGGAAAGAGAGAATCTTATTGGTCTTATTCTAATTGTGGAGAATAGAGAGAAAAAACAAGCAGTGTGACGGAAGCTATTTGACAGATCACTCATGACTGTTACTTTTTGTGTAAATTGGTTTTCTTCAATTTTAGTTTCTACCAATTCCATTGGTAGTATGGTGCCGAATGGAATGGAGAAGTGCGGTGGTTGATGGTAACTCAGGAGGATCCCTGTCGCGTAACTGGGACACCCGAGTTCGAATCTCGACTGGCTGCAATGGGATTTTCTTCTTTCTAAATCCTCATTCTCATTGAATTTTTCGATTTTTTGTCTCTTCTTTTCTGTCCACATACAGGTGGAGGTTTCTGTACACAGAAACTATGTTCAGGTAGTTGATTAGAATAAATAGGGAGTGAGAATAAGTAAATATGCGAAATACTATTGGTCACATGGGTAGCGTGCGGCTGCGGTGGTTATAAAACCGTTACCTCATTTTCTCTATTTCTATAAAATGAAAAAAACAAAAAATTTTTTTTTATGTAATATGATCTTTCTAAGTCAGCCTAGCGTGAAAATGAACAGTTAATTATAGATGCGTTGATCCTTTTCTTCTTAAGAATCTTTGATAAAGTGTTCTATCTCAGTAACTATTGAACATATTGACCTAAAATTGGATATAGGAATGTTATTTGACAATCCTAACTAGTAGTCAATGTTTCAAAAGGTTTCCCTGATTTTAATCCATGTTATAGTATTCAAGAGTGAATTCTGACCAAAAAAATACAAAAACGGCAATATCTTGAAAAGTTTCTATAGAGGGGTATACATATTTTGATTGATGCAGATAGATGACATCAAGACGAACATTAAAAAAAAAATTGAAATCGGTTGTATAGTTTTTGAGATATTGAGCAAAACAGTTTCAGATGAAAATTTGAATATCTCCGAAACTACTCGTCCGATTTTGCTTATCCAAAATACCAAACTTTGTTATCGCAAGACCTGAAACCCTACCAAGTTTGAAGTTTCTATCTCGATTATTGTTTAAGTTATCATGTTTACAAGCAATTTCAGCGAAAAAATAAAAAAACGAGAATAAAACCACATTGCTTGGGGTGTAATGGTCTTTTTTCGATCCATTTAGATAGATATCATCACGACGAGTATTTTGAAAAAAAAAATCGAATCGGTCGAATTGTTCAGGAGATATCGGCAAAAAACGATTTTTGAGGAATTGCTGTATCTCAGGAACCGCTCAACCGATCGAGGTGAAATTTAGCCCAGTTTTGAGTATCAATAGTACCAGATAACAGCAAAAATTTCAAGTTCTTTGCGCTAACCGTTCTCGAGTTATGGGGGCAATTGGGGACATACTCACACACATGACCACAGACATATATACATACATACAGACATTTTGTAAAAACATCCTTTCTTCACGATTCATGACATTTCTAGGCATTTCCACCCACAATTAGGAAATCGAAAAAATTACAATTACATAGCTTCCCTTCGGAAGCAATAAACGCTTGATATATTTTGGCCATCTACGTATTATCGAAAGATTCTCAATTTTCTGATGAAGTACTTGTCAAGGGTACCGGTACAGTACTATAATTCAATAGGAAAAAAAATCAGAAAAATTCATGAAAAAATTCGAAAATTTGAAATCCATTCTTCATTTTTCTTGTCAACTCCAGTCGCGTAATTTGTCATCCGCCATCATGTTTGGGGCATCAATAAAAATTCTCAGTGGAATCCACAAAAAAATGGTAAGCGTCTCATTGACTCAAAAAGAACCGCTGACATTCACACTTTCGTTCCCACATAAAAAAAGAAAAACTTATTCTCATAATCCCATTTTTTCTTTGACATTTCCATTATTCATCATATTAGGTTAATTTGAGACCCGCTCAAAAAAATTTTTGGACAAAAAAACAAAAACCCAAAGTATCATCATCTCAGCTCGAAAATTCTCCAGTTCGCGCATGTGGAGAATCTCCTTCGAAATGTCTCGACTCAGGCTATGGGAAACCTCTTCCGAAGCCGAATAAATCTCTCTTGAATTTCTGTAGAGGAAAGCCAGAGATAAAAGAGAAGCCTTCGAACTGCGATGAAAAAGAGTGCGAAAAACGCGAGACTTTTCTGGAGTATCTATTCGGGAAAAGAGATAAAAAGCCAAAAAAAATTTCTTTCCCTGCAGTAAAATACATCCTATGCCGTGAATACTCCGCTCCCAAGGTCCAGGAACTTCTGGAACCTCAGCCGATGTCTGCATCGAAATTTCCAGCCCCAAAAGCTGTCAATACTATGGAATTTGTCAAAAAATCGCAAAAAATTCCTTCTACGTGCTCCGCAGCTGCCCTCTTCATTGACCAATATTCTTGTGAAAGTTCAAAAAAATGTAAAAAGATTGAAGCGTTCAAAGTTCCATTCGAACAGCTGCGACCATCCGCGAACACAAAAGAAAAGTTCAGCTGTAGAACTGGAGTTGATCATGAGAATATTTTCAAGCCTATGAAGAGGAATTGCTGTGTAGAAGCTGCGAAAGTCGGGAGAGTCACTAAATTCCCTGGAGAGATCCCCAAACCGCCGTCCCTGAACTTCAATGCTGAGAGTTTATGTAATGCGAGTCCTAAGAAGTTCACGAGAACTTCGAGGGTCGAGAAATTGAAGGCGTTGGTGTCCAGTTCTAAACATTGTCCGGTGCCTAGTTTCAAGGATTCTAAATGATGGAGTGGGTAAGTCGTCACGTACGAGAAATATATACGGAAAGAATATAAAAGTATTTTTTACTATGGGAACATAGTCATTTTTAATATGAGAAATTGGACGCAGGACCATACTCGCCAGATATTATGATTTACTGTTTAACATAGTAATATTGAGGACAAACGAAAAATTTACCACGCGCCGGATGAAAAAAAACTGATGACGGAATTAGAATATGGCGTGAATATTCTTGAATTTAATTGAAATTCGAATGTACAATTAAAAAAAAATCCAAAACTACCAAAAATATAAATCTCTTGAAGGGAGGAGCTGGTACCCTGGCGATTTAGGAGCCACGGTATAACCACGGAGAAGCGTAGCTGTTCATTTTCGTGTAAAAAAGGCGAAAATGACTGAAATCCATGAGTAAATATTAATAACTGAACTATTTGGACAAATTTGTGCCAATTAGTTTGTTAATTTTATCAATTAGAAAGAATGATTGATAGTGTGATGTATGGCAATAAAAGCCCGAATTGGGAAATTCCGCGAGATGGCGGCAGCGTTGAATTACCAACTCAGTCGGTCAAGTTGATCGCAGTCGGAGATCACGGGGGGATGTTGCCGCGTATTTTTAAATTTGATTTCAGCCGAAAAAAATTGATAAGAAAATGAACAATGCGTGTTTTCATAGAATCGTTGTTCAAAATAATAATCTGGAAAGATTATTATTTTTACCAATGTTTTTGGGGGGAATCGACTCATTGATCAATAATTAATTAGTTAAATAACAATTTTGTGAGACTTGCGAAAATTGTGGGGGTGGGGGGTTGTGGTAATAACTCTGGGATTTTTAATTTTTTCCTAAGGGTAGTTACGAGGGTGGACAACTCAAATTGACCAGTGTTTTCGTGGAGAATCGGCTCATTAATCAATAATTCATTGCTAAAATAATAATTTCGTGGGACTTTCGAAAATTACGGGGTGAAGGGAGAGGCGCGGAAAAAAACTTTGGGGGTTATAATTTTTTCCTACGGGTAGTTTTGGGGGTGAAGAAGTCAAATTGACTAATGTTTTTGTGGGGAATCGACTCATTAATTAATAATCAATTAATTGGAAAATAATTTCATGGGACTTTCGGAAATTACGGGGGTGGGGGGTTGCCGAAAAAACTTTTTGGGTTTCAATTTTTTGCTAGGGGTAGCTTTGAGGGTGGAGAACGCAAATTGAACAATATTTTTGTGGGGAATCAATTCATTAATTAACAGGAGGAATGAATTTTCAAAGCGCGGAGTAACTCCGGACAAATTCTTCTCATTCAAAAATTCATTTCTCCCCTCCTTAATTGAGATGAAGGAATGAAACCAACGCCTATCGATCGAGAATTATATTTTCAATAAATGACAACGGTTTCATTCCTTAATTTCAATAAGCAGCAGAGGAATGAATTTTCAAAGTGCGGAGTAACCCCGAACGGTTCTCCGGCGTCGAGTGAGTCCGGAGGCGCTCCCCGATTGAAAAATTCATTTCTACCCCCCTAATTGGGATGAAGGAATGAAACTAACGCCAATCAATCGAGAAGTATATTTTCAATAAATGCCACCGGTTTCATTACTTATTCTCAATTAGGAGCGGAGGAATGAATTTTCAAAGCGCGGTGTAACTCCAGACAAGTTCTTCTCATTCAAAAATGCATTTCTCCCCTCCCTAATTGAGATGAAGGAATAAAACCGGTGTCATTTATTAAAAATATAATTCTCGATCGATAAGCGTTGGTGTCATTCCTTCATCTCAATTAGGGAGGGGAGAAATGAATTTTTGCATCAGAAGAACTTGTCCGGAGTTACTCCGCGTTTTAAAAATTCATTTCTCCGCTTCTAATTTAGATTAAGCAATGAAACTGGTGTCATTTATTGAAAATATATTTCTCGATCGATAGGCATTGGTTTCATGCCTTCATCACAATTAGGAGGGGGGGATGAATTTTCCAATCGGGGAGCCCCTCCGGACTCACTCGACGCCGAAAAACCGTTCGGGGTTACTCCGCGCTTTGAAAATTCATTCCTCCGTTCTTAATTGAGATTAAGGAATGAAACCGGTGTCATTTATTGAAAATAAAATTCTCGATCGAGAGGCGTTGGTTTCATGTGTTCTTCTCATTTGGGGGGGGGGGATGAATTTTCCAATCGAAGTACCCTTTCCGGGCGCACTCGACGCCGGAGAACCGTTTGGGGTTACTCCGCGCTTTGGAAATTCATCCCTGTGCTGCCTATTGAGATTAAGGAATGAAACCGTTGTCATTTATTGAAAATATAATTCTCGATCGATAGGCGTTGGTTTCATTCCTTCATCTCAATTAGGGAGGGGAGAAATCAATTTTTGAGTGAGAAGAACTTATCCGGAGTTACTCCGTGTTTTGAAAATTCATTCCTCCTGTTAACCTAGCGGGTAGAAAGGCGCGCCGCCGCCAACTACTCAACCTATAAGGCGCCACTGCAGTGCAAGTGAGAGGTAAGAGATCTAGCCAGTTCAGGAGTGTTAATTAATGAATTGATTCCCCACAAAAACATTGTTGTATTTGCGTTCTCCACCCTCAAAGCTACCCCTAGTAAAAAATTAAAACCCAAAAAGTTTTTTCGGCAACCCCCCAGCCCCGCAATTATCGCAAGTCCCACGAAATCATCACACCATTAATTAATTATTAATTAATGAATCGATTCCCCACGAAAACATTGTTCAAATTGAGTTTTCGACCCGCAAAACCACCCCTCGGAAAAAATTATAACCCCCAAAGTTTTTTCCGCCACCCTCCACCCCCGCAATGTTCGCAACTCCTACGAAATTATTATTGAATGAATGAATTATTGCTTAACCAGTCGATTCCCCACGAAAACGCTGGTCAATTTGACATCTCCATCCCAAAAACTATCCCTAGAAAAAAATTATAACCGCAAAAGTTTTTTTCCGCAAGCCCCCACCACCGTAATTTACGAAAGTCCCACGAAATTATTATTTAACTAATTAATTATTGATTAATAAGTCGATTCTCCACGAAAACACTGGTCAATTTGTCTTCCCCACCCTGAAAACTACCCCTAGGAAAAAATTAGAACCCTCAAAGTTTTTTTCCGCAGCCTCCCGCCCCCTTAATTATCGCAAGTCCCACGAAATTATTATTCAAATAATTAATTATTGATTAATGAGTCGATTCCCCATGAAAACACTAGTCAATTTTTCTTCTCCACCCCGAGAAAATATCGCTAGAGAAAAATTTGAACTCTCAAAGTTTTTTCCGCCACTTCCCACCCCCGTAATTAGCGAAAGTCATATCAAATTATTTTTCAATTAATTAATTATTATTTAATCAGCAGATTCCCCACAAAAACAGTGGTCAATTTAACTTCTCCACCTTCAAAACTACCTCTAGGAAAAAATTATAACCCCCAAAGTTTTTTTCCGCGCCTCTCCCTGCACCCCGTAATTTCCGAAAGTCCCACGAAATTATTATTTAACTAATTAATCATTGATTAATGAGTCTTATCCCCACAAAAACATTGGTCAATTTGATTTCTACACTCCCAAAACCACCCCTAGGAAAAATTTAGAACCCCTAAAGTTTTTTTTGACACCCTCCACCCCCGTAATTCTTGCAAGTCCCACGAAATTATTATTCAACTAATGAATTATTGATTAATGAGCCAATTCCCCACGAAAACACTGGTCAATTTGAGTTGTCCACCCTCGAAACTACCCCTAGGAAAATATTAAAACCTCCAAAGTTTTTTCCGCACCCCCCACTCCCATAATTATCACAAGTCTCACAAAATTGTTATTTAACTAATTAATTATTGATCATTGAGTCGATTCCCCACATTGGAAAAAATAATAATCTTTCCAGATTATTATTTTGAACAACGATTCTATGAAAACACGCATTTTTCAATTTCTTATCAATTTTTTTCGGCTGAAATCAAATTTAAAAATACGCGGCAGCATCCCCCGTCATATGACGGGTCATGTGATGCATTTGCATCTCTAACTGCGACACCACCGTATACTTGGCGAATAAATTACATATTTTTCAAAAATAATCAATGTAATAATTAGAAATGATTTGAAAAAATTTAGAAACGCTTTTTCATAATTTGGAAACGAATAGTTATTCAGTAATTAATAAAAAAACTGTTGGACCGTATACTTGGCAAACATTGACCGAAATTAATAAAATTTCACTTTAATCGATGTAGAACAATTTGGAAATAATAGTGAGAATGTTTGTTTCATTTGGAAATGTAATATTGCATCGAAAATTAATAAAAAAGGAATGAAGTTATTATTGTTCAGGAGTCACGTGACCGAGTCTTCCCCTTCCCATCACTTACCCCATTTACATATAAAAAAAGTGAGGTTATGTCCCTCTCGCGAACCTGAATGTTCCCCTGTCACGTACCTTTAAACAATCTCCTGAAAATTATGAGTAAGTGGTTGAATGAAAAATTGACGACATTTAAAAACAAAATCACTGGACCCCTGATAAAACATGAAAGGATTTATAGAGAGGCAGACAGTGTCGGAGTGTTTCGTTGCTGAAATCTCTAAGCATCAGAAGCCCAAAGCCCCCAGGAAAGGAAAATCCATGGAGATGAAATACTAAAAAAAACCCTCCCAATTCCCTAAAATCAGAACTAAAAAAGCTGGCGAAATCTCCGAAAAATGAAGAGACAGATAACAGATAACTGGCAGGAGACGTTCGAGCTCTCCAGTGGACGAAATGGGCTGCCACAAAAGTGCTCGGACGAAAAAGCGAGTCTTTCAGATTTTCGATTCCAGTTGCTGCTAGATCTTGTGTTGATCAGTCAAACAAAGGATTAGGTGACATACGCAGCTATGGAGAGACTCCAAAATTATGGGTGTACTCCGGATCTTCTGATCAAGACTCCTGACAATGTTCTTAGGAAATTAATTCATCCTGTTAGTTTTTATGAGATGAAGAAAATTATTCAAACCTTCTGAAAAGTTTGGAAAAGTAATGAGCTATTCAATCATTGTGAATAGTTTTCTGAAACTGTTGTTTTTAAAGGGAAATGTTAAAAAACATTTTTCAAAGACGTGAAATTCTCTACAAAAAATGTCACTTCATGAATTTTTTTTAAAGCTGTGTCTTTCATATATATTGACAAAAGGAATATATCATCCTGTTTGGAAATGTTTTTGTGAACAAGATTTGATCCTAATTTTTTTATAATTTTTTTCAGCCCGAAGTCCAGTATATTAAGAAAAATCTGTAAAGTCCTCCTTTGAGACCGCAAAGGTGACATTCCAGACACAATCGGAGGACTTTGCTCTTTTCGAAAAGTCACCCTGATCGATCAAACCCAGAGTTAACTCCGAGTTAACTCTGGGTTTATAGGGAAAACCCAGTGAAGGAAGAAAAAAAGTCTGCGAAAGTTCCATTAACCCATAGTGAACCCAGTGTTAACTCTGGGTTTAATTCATCAAGGCGGTCTCAAGGTGGGCCACATCTGCATGCAAGTCCACTGCATCTGCAATCGTTTCAATTTGGTGGAGAGACAGGCGAAGACACCAGAGGGAATAAGGACGCAACTGGTGGAGTGGCCCCCCTAAGGATCGCTGGACTGAGATCAATTACCTGCTGGTTGGTTTCGGTTAGGAGATCTGTCTCCTTGAGCATCCTCAATGTGGACAGCGTCCCACAAAAAATCTTTTGCTCTTTTCCCCTGATAACACTCAAAATAATTGGGACACTGAACAGGATAAAAAAAATTCTTAATGTTCTATCACTTCCCACCACTTCTCTTCTGAAAGTCGATGCATGATCCATAATTTTCGAATATCGTTTATCAATCATGCTGTTCTACTCGAGATTCAACAAATAATAATTGATTCGTAGCGTAAAATATTAATGTTGAATGAATAATGAAAAAGAACACTTGATATGAAATGATTTTATTTACAAAATAAAGCACAGATTTTTCTATTAATTTCTATTGTTAGTTTCTTTTTGGTCTGACCCTTGATTTTGTTCATAGGTCTCTCCTGCTTAAACTGCGCCTTCTTCGTCAATTTTTTTTCTGCTGTTATTTGTTTCGCTCCAACTCCACTTCTCCAATTTAGCTGAAAAGTCGAATGATTTCGTGAAATTTTGAGTTTGGGGAAAGGCTTTTTTTTCGGTAAGGTGATACAGAATTTTTCGTTGAGATTCATGAGGAATTGATGAAAAGAAATGGAATTAAAACAATTTTATCCCATGTTTTTTGGAATATCTTCGAAATTAGAGGGTTCAGAGACAATGTTGAAGTATATTCTGTGGAGGTCATTACATTTTCTATAAAAAAGGTCTTCTAACATTTTGTTCTAAAATCACTCGTAATCGAGATAATTCAAATATTTCTGAAGATTGATGAATTAGAAAAAATTAAAGAAAAATCGATTATATGTTCTCCTAAAGTTACTGATTATCAACATAATTTAATCATCTATAAATGTTTTCGACAAAGAATGGCGATGAAAATTCGTAAATATCTATTGGAGCTACTCAAATAATCCTGGAATATCGTCCCCACTAACTGTAGCAAGCGTGAGCAGAAGACTTTGAAGTCATTGAAGACTTTCCTATTACCCGGAAAGCCTCGTTAATGGCTGCTTATTTCGCATTATTCGGCATTCACAATTAGAAAAATATTCCTCTCATTATCAGTTAGCTACACTGTTGATGATACTTAAATATCAACATTTCATTTGATTTCCTTTCCTCCATTGTCTATTCAGGTTTAAAAGTAATAAATTGAATGATTATGAAATTCTAATTGAGAAAGAAAAAAAACTTTAATTGACAAAGAAAAAAAGGAATTTCGAATAATGTGCCCATTGAGCATTTTTTTTGAATTGAAAATTTGTAGTGAATCGGCAAACTAGGATAATTACTACGCATCTAGGGTCCGTTGTCGGTGGATATCTCGTGAGTGGGGACAGTTAAGAAAAATTCCATGGAATTTTTTTTGTAGAGCGAAATGTGAGCTAAAAAAATCATATGAAAATTTTGCTATTTCTCCTCATGTAGAAGATATTCATCACAGTGAAAACACCTCGGTAATCTACAAAAAAAAAATTTATTCAGACGGGCATGGAGCCTCATATCACGGACTAGATAACGAAAAAAAAGTTCGTCAGTCGGTGGCAGACAACTTTTATGGCGATTTTGTTGTAATCTTTGACTTTGCTTCGGACTCTACTATATAATTATTATAAAAAATACATCCTATGACCATCAATACTCTCCCCCGATGGGGAGGGCGTTGTGGATGACTGCATTTTTTGTCAGCTCTTGGAGCCATGGGCATTCCCAAAACTCTTCGTTTCCCTCTGAAGCTCCTGAGAGGCGGAGTTCAATCTCGGCATTCTCTCAGGTGATTTTTGTGTGAAAACTTGGACCCCCGAACTATTGGCTACAAAAACTTCAATTCTCAGTGAACCTCGAGTGTTTTCAGCTAATTCGACTTTAGAGATTTTTCTTAATATACTGGACTTCGGGCTGAAAAAAATTAGGATCAAATCTTGTTCACAAAAACATTTCCAAACAGGATGATATATTCCTTTTGTCAAAATATATGAGACACAGCTTTAAAAAAAATTCATGAAGTGACATTTTTTGTAGAGAATTTCACGTCTTTGAAAAATGTTTTTTAACATTTCCCTTTAAAACCAACAGTTTCAGAAAACTATTCACAATGATCGAATAGCTCATTACTTTTCCAAACTTTTCAGAAGGTTTGAATAATTTTCTTCATCTCATAAAAACTAACAGGATGAATTAATTTCCTAAGAACATTGTCAGGAGTCTTGATCAGAAGATCCGGAGGACACCCATAATTTTGGAGTCTCTCCATACCTGCGTATGTCACCTAATCCTTTGTTTGACTGATCAACACAAGATCTAGCAGCAACTGGAATCGAAAATCTGAAAGACTCGCTTTTTCGTCCGAGCACTTTTGTGGCAGCCCATTTCGTCCACGGGAGAGCTCGAACGTCTCCTGCCAGTTATCTATTATCTGTCTCTTCATTTTTTGGAGATTTCGCCAGCTTTTTTAGTTCTGATTTTAGGGAATTGGAAGGATTTTTTTTAGTATTTCATCTCCATGGATTTTCCATTCCTGGGGGCTTTGGGCTTCTGATGCTTAGAGATTTCAGCAACGAAACACTCCGACACTGTCTGCCTCTCTATAAATCCTTTCATGTTTTATCAGGGGTCCAGTGATTTTGTTTTTAAATGTCGTCAATTTTTCATTCAACCACTTACTCATAATTTTCAGGAGATTGTTTAAAGGTACGTGACAGGGGAACATTCAGGTTCGTGAGAGGGACATAACCTCACTTTTTTAATATGTAAATGGGGTAAGTGATGTGAAGGGGGACGACTCGGTCACGTGACTCCTGAACAATAATAACTTCATTCCTTTTTTGGTGTGACTATTGGCACCAAATACGGGTGATGCACGGGAGACACGGGTCGTACGGCTAATCTACGGGTTACCCGTAGGATTTACCTAAAACCACGGGGTAAAAATTTCTCTTACAGGTTATTCTATGGGGCAAAAATGACTGGTGCTGAATTAACTGAACGAATTCAAATTATCTTGTCAAATTGTCTACGGGTGTGTACGGGACGCACCCGTACAGATCCGTAGTTCTTGGAAATTTGCAGATTTTAGATTATACAAGTGTGTAAATTGAAGTGCCACTGTCGTTTGTCGAATTTCCGATAAATGAGAAATTATCGATTCATACGGGTCACGCCCCTTTGGGTCTATGCACTGTTAGGACTTTACTATTGAAATTTCAAATAAAAAATTTTGAAATTTTCAAAAAATCAGTCAATTTGTGGAATATTCAATGAAATTCCAATTTTCAGGTTCAGACGACAATGAAAATTATTAAAAACTACGGAAATTCAGGGGACTATTGTTCTGAATTCTGCACCTATTCATAAGTCAATTGAATTTAATGTCCAATTTTCACAATGAATTTGAAAATTTAAGGTGTCATTGAAATCTCAATGTTCGCCTAACATGAGAAAACTCCCTCTTGTTGAATTTCAACGATAAATAGGAAATGTTATGGATAATTTGATTTTCAATCAAATTCCAATTCACAAAATTGAAAATTCACATGCATCAGTCACTTCAATTTCAAAAACTTTTCAACAGTGTGGTTTTGGAAAATTAATAAATGTCAGCAAAAGAAATGTGCAAGTTAGAACATTTTTATTATTGAATAAATAAAAAAGAATTTACCAAAGGTAGGTAACTAATAAAATTATACAATGAAAAATGGTAATAAACTTATTGATAAAATGGTATATTTTTATTCAAGCTATATAACTATGATGATCATCTCCTCCCACTCTTACAGTTTGGGAAAATCCATTGATTTTTCTTTGGGTGGCATTGCAGAGAAGTACATTTGAAATCATATATAAGCAAACAGCTCTGACACTCAATGCAGTCTTGTTCTAAACTTATTTTACAAATTTCACAGAGCAATGTCTCTGATTTCTTTTTTGCTATCATATCTTTCAATGCTAAAAATGCCTCGTTATTAAAATAGTTTTCCATGTCATTAATTAAATCTGGGGAGATGTGATGACTGGCAAATGAATCTCTTAACGATGATTCAGTAGTGTCACATATGTCGCCAATTTCGATTTGATAATCTCCACATAAGACGTCGTCTACTGGGCAACTAGCTAACAATACCCACATCAAAACTTGTCGTTGTTTCTGTTCACTTGTCAGGTCTGCAAATTTATAATCCATTTTCCGTCGCGATTTAAATTTAAGAGTGTTCCCAGATGTACCAGAAGGACGACCACGAATTCTAATTGGAGGCGGCATGATGATATTATCAAGATTCGAGGCTGCATCTTCTCGTGACTTATCTACATTACACTCTGAAAGTGAAAGATTTTGTAAGTCATCTTCGAGAGTTTCATTCTCTTGTGTAGTGTGATGATTGTTATTTACCTCAGGACGAGTGATTTTCACTTCAACATCTTGACCCTTCCTCAATGCTGCCACAATTTCCAACAACATCACACGATGCATCTCGAAACGTGCTCCAGTTGCTAAACTTGCAACGTTGACGATTTCGTCAGTGAGTCTCTTCAGTTCTTTACGTCTTCCACTGAGGGTTGAGTACATTTTCCGTGGAATTAGTTGAACTGCGACTTTAAACGAGGAATTAGTAGGGGGAGAGGTGCTTGATGGCGTACTCGATAGTGCAGTTGAACGGTGCGCCCGGTGATTTTTCTTCACAAAATCTTTTGAGCACATTGGAGCACATAATTCGAGATCAAACAAAGGTAGTTGAAAGTGATTTCGTACTATAAAAATGTGCATACACGGCAGTGCGTAGGATTTACGAAAAGCACAAATACACGAATCCGGAGTAGCTACGAAAGTCTGTCCATAGTTTTTGATAATTACTTCTCGGGTTTCTTCGTTGATTTGTTGAAGAGTAACTTTCTCTTGGGCAATATTCTCTTTCTTGGTCAACTGCTTATGAACTTCAACGGTTGCCATACTGGTTAAATGATTTGCGTACTCCTCCTGAACACTACCAACGGAATAGTGATCACCGACGTTTCAAATTTCTTATTGCCTCTCTCATGTCAGTTTCTTGTGTTGGGGACTTGAGAAGTGAAAAAAAAATTACTGGCGAATCCGCAGAACGTATCCCTGGCATCACAGAGGCTTTGGATTTGAGTATTCATGCTTTCCAGATGATTGTTCGTTCTATTGCTCAAAGTCCCGTCTGTCACACTGTAGGCTGTCCACTCGTGGCGACAACGATGCCAAGAGTCGTTCAAATAATCAACAGCTTCTTGAGGCGCGATCTTCACGAAGTCAGAATGTAATTTGTCGTACCTCTGTGCACTTGTACTGTAAGCCATACGCTCAAATGTCTGCAAACAATACTCCTCCACTTCTGCAGTGAATTTCTTAGCTTTTATCGTAAGGCTGAACGCTTTCAGAACGTGCCATAAGCAGAGATAGAAAGGCACCTTGAAAACCGTCTTGAATGCTTGACGTTCTGTAAGGTCTTTATCAGTCATCAAGCACTTCACCGCCTTGCAGGCACTATGATGTTGTTTCTCAAAACTGCGAGCGAGCCACCCCAGTATCGATTCAGATTCAGATGCTACAATTCCTGCACCGACGATTTCTGCTCTGCCTTCCGAATCCTGTACTTGAAAAACTATGAGAGTGAAGCCTAAATTAAATAATTTGTGTGTTCCATCTAAGAACAAAATCGACGCCCATGCATTCATTGATGCTCTCATGTCCGCGGTTGTCATGAACAATCCCTCGAATCTGTTGTCGTTGTCTCCTAGTATATCAACTGTGCAGCCTGTAATGATAAATCAATACATTGAGATTACTCAGTAAAATCATTCACTAAAAAAATAATATATATTATTTGATATATATTATTTTATATATAGATAATAAAATACACATTCGTACCATATTTGTCTCGAAGTAAGTCCACAAATATGCGAAGATTATTTCCATCAGCTTTTTTGGTTTCTGCCTTTAAATTACAAATATCATGTTGCAGAAGATATTTATTTGATTTTTGAGCAAGGGAATTTTTAACCAATTTGTTATTGGCCCCTAAGGTGAAGAGTTCCTTGACACTCTCCTTTGTATTCGGCGACAATCGACGATTTTCCGTGATAGCAAATGTAAATCGCTGTAAAAAAGACAATCAATCAATTTCGGAAAGTTAAAACGTAAATTTAAAAGAAACGTGCGTTTGTTTGATGTCTGGAATCATGAATTAAGGTATTGATATCACGCGAGGTACTTTTTTGAGAACTTTTTCAATTTTCCTCAAATGTAGATCATGCAAAAACAAACAACATTTCCCCATGAGCAAAATTGATCGGATGAGTGGTAAAGATCTCGAAAACTGTTCTCAAGATTTCCTGTAAAAAAATAATAATAATAGCTCGGACTTTGAGTCAAATTTTGAGATCTGGAATTACAATTTCTGAATGGTAGCTATTAATTTTAACAATTGTTGTTAATAATTTAATAACCTAATAGTTTAATTCGTTTTTCTTTCAATAGAAAAATATTTTATTAATTAATCAACATTAATAGATTTCAATTTTTCTATACAACTATTCTGTTGGGAATTTTTCAATGAAAATTCCTCGGCATAGTTTTCATAGAAAAAATCTCAACAAAATAAATTACATAGCAAAATCAAAATCTATGATATTTTTTCTTTTAAATATTTTTCTCTCGAATATTCCTATTAAAAAAAACGCGCGTAGAAGTTGCGGAATCTTCAACAGAAATTGGCATAAAACCAATAGAATTCTCTAGTGAATGCGTGGGATTTTATCTTGAATTTTGTCATACATGAAGAAATCCGGATGAACAAAAAACGAGTCATTCGATGAGTGCAAATGAAGTACGGGCTCAGTTTAGGTGTGAATTATAGGTGAAAGAGAATGCCACCAAAACAAGTTTTGTATCAAATGGCACGAAACCCATCATATACTCACACCAGTGTCTTCATGATTTTCATGATTTAAGTTCATTCCGCGAATTTCCAAGCAACTCTTGTCCTTTCTCGGCAATCTGAAGTGAATAACAGCCGGATATTGATGATCATACGTGCTGAAAATAGAAGACAAAGTCATGCGACCATGGAATCAATTGTTTTGCGAAAAATTGATGCAATGCAACGAGTTTTTTGCCATTTTTCTATATTACCTCGTGGATCGAACTGTAGCTTCTAATTGTTTCTTTTCACTAAACTTGCAAACGAAAAAGATGTAAGTGTATATCAGATGAGGATTCACTGCATCGGAGTTTTTTAGATAAGAACTTTCAATTTTTTCGGAACGTCCCCGCACAAACACCTGATTTTCTTTCGCCCCATATTCATCAACGAATTTCTTCACATCAAGGTAAGAAAGGAATTTTAATCCCAAAGTTGGGGTGGTTGTTTTTTCTTCCATCATTTAGCGTCGCTACAGTTCAACTTAACTAGTTACTAGTAATGAGTGGGTGAATTTATTATGTTATGTTGGAGAGAAGATTTTGAACTGGCTATTCAAATGAGGAAAAGTGTGCTCGAGCGAAAATTATGCGAGTGGGGTAGCGATTTAAGAGAGGGAAGATTTGGGGTCTTCCCGAAATGTGATTGGACGGAAAATGAGGAAGTGGGATCAAGAGGGCCTTGATTC